GTTAGCATCCACCTCCTCACTGGACGTAACCACGGTTAGCATCCGCCTCCTCGCTGGATTTAACCACCTTTAACACTTCGTCGGTTCGAGCGAGTCGGGACCACGGCGAATATAACTTAATAGGTCAAAGTGTCAGATTGTGAATCCGCCTCCTCACTGGGTTTAACTGCAGTTAGCATCCGCCTCCTCGCTGGATTTAACAACCGTTAGCGTCCGCCTCCTGACTGGGTTTAACGGTAACTTTAACCACAGTTAGCGTCTGCCTCCTCGCTGGATTTAACCACAGTTAGCATCCACCGCCTCACTAGATTTAAACACAGTCTCATACAAGTGGCCTTCAAGTGCATTCTCGTTTTTTTCCACCTGGAACGTAGCGCGAAAAAACAGATCAGTGTAATAGCAACCACCGGCTTCTGAGTGCGCCCCATTCCCAACTTTTCCTCAGCAGCTTGGGCCATCCTCGGATTTCATGAAGAGGCGCATGTCATGATACCACGTCATCATGTTGCAGACCTTGGATATGATGCTGTGACTGCTTAACACATAAATACGTAGTGGGGGGGAACACTCGTCTATATGTAAGAAGGGGTGGGGGGCCACTCGACTTCCCCCAGGCCTTCTGTTCCTTCTCTAGATACCATGAAAGCTTCACTGCCTAGGTTATTCATCTTCCCCAAATTGCCATGTCACACTGGATGTACCTATAGCCGGATTGCAGCTGGATGGCTCATTCTACCAGCTGCAAACATCACACTCTCCTGTGGCTGTCCCTTGGGTCTCTGAGCTAGAGTGGAAAATGGCGGGGGCATGAAACAGACCTGATACTATCGTCTGGATGTGTGTCTATCTTCTGTGAAGTGGCACCTCACGCTGCAATCTGGATGTCTCCATCCGCATTGCAGCTGGACAGCTCATTCTGCCTGCTGCAAAACGCACACTCTCCTGTGGTTTTCCCTTGCCTCTCCGAGCTGAAGTGGAAAATTGGTGGGGGCATGAAACAGACCAAGATACGCTCGTCTGGATGTGTGTCTATCTTCTGCAAATCGGCACCTGACACTGGAATCTGGATGTCTCTATCTGCATTGCAGCCGGATAGCTCATTCTCCCCGCTGCAAAAAGCACACTCTCCTGTGGCTTCCCCTTGCATCCCTCAGCTAGAGTGGATAATGGCGGGGCCATGAAACAGACCTGATACTACCCTCTGGATGTGTGGATGGGATGTTCTTCTACCCTTCCTCATTGACATTCAATCGACCTGCGTGCATCCAGTGCAGCGCTTCATCTCCCAATTAACTGCGCGGAAGAAGGGTGGGCACCAAACAGATCGTCAGTGGGAACTGGAGACTCCAGTCCTTCGTCTATATCCTCTGGTAACTCTGGCATGTGGTGTATTGAATGGGGGAAGAACTGGATGGTCGACATGTTGTAATCCATGGACATGTCAATGGGGTCTTGTGGATGTCTCATGTCCACCATAGTGCTTTCAAGTTGGCCTTCCAGCGGATCAGGAATTGCTTCCCAGCCTTGCATCGGCATCTCATAAAGTTCCTTGATGAGCTTCTTCATGCCACGATCCCTGATAGGAAAAACAAGAGGAAGAGGAAAACGAGCACAATAAGAAACCCTAAAAAAAAGAAAAAAGAAAAAAAAAAGAGCACAATAAGAAACCCTAAGGGCCTAAACCAGAAAGAGGCATAAGCTAGGGGCCAGCGCCAGCAGCAGCAGGATGATAACTTGAGTGACGTGACTGAGGGGTATTAGGGCAGTTTCCTTTTTTTTCCCCCAAGGATAACACGGCAAGTGACCAAAAGACCAACATAAAAATAATAATGATAATAATAAGAAAAACAAAAAAAAGAAACACCTTGTTATGTTCAGACTTCAAACTTCAATTGGTAATTCATCTAGCTGACTAACTAAGCGTGGATTGACTGGAACTGGTAAACTCACTGTTGTAGGTTCATGCCAGAAACCATCTGGTCCTGGCTCAGAATTAACGCCAGCGATATGCTTAAACACATGCAAGTCGAACAAACACATGCAAGTCGAACGTTGTTTTCTCAGTTGAAAACAAAGTGGTGAACGGGAGCGTAACCGTCCAAAGTCTACTAGAGGGGTTGGCAAGACAAGATAAGCAAAAGTGGGGAAGCATTGCCATGCAACAAAAAAACAAACCCTTCAAAAGGGTACCTTCCCAATTCTTGCCAAGGACACGTTGCAAGAAACGATGAAAAACAAAATGGGCAAGCCACAAAAGACCAACCTCTTTCCAGCGGTTAAGTGGACAAGAAAAGGAACAAAAGGTAGTTTCCTTCTTACCAAAGATGCATTACAAAAGACACATTCTTGCCAACAAAATACCAAACTCTGGTAATGAAGGAAGTGAGATTCTGCCAAAGCAGACAAGAAGGACAGGAGGAGGAGGAGGAGGACGAAGAGGAGGAGGAGGAAGAAGAGGAAGAGGAAGAGGAAGAGGAAGAGGAAGAAGAGGAAGAAGAGGAAGAAGAGGAAGAGCAAGAGGAAGAAGAGGAAGAGCAAGAGGAAGAAGAGGAAGAAAAGGAGGAGGAGGAAGAAGAGGAAGAGGAGGAAGAGGAGGAAGAGGAGGAAGGGGAGGAAGAGGAGGAAGGGGAGGAAGAAGAGGAAGAGGAAGAAGAGGAAGAAGGAGGAAGAAGAAGAAGAGGAGGAGGAGGAAGAAGAAGAAGAGGAGGAGGAGGAGGAGGAGGAGGAGGAGGAGGAGGAGGAAAAGGAGGAGGAAGAGGAAGAGGAAGAAGAGGAGGAAGAGGAGGAAGAGGAAGAGGAAGAGGAAGAGGAAGAGGAAGAAGAGGAAGAAGACGACGAAGACGACGACGACGACGATGAAGAAGGAGAAGGAGAAGGAAGGAAAAAGAAGAGGAAGGGGAAGAAGGAGAAGAAGGAAGGAGGAGGAGAAGAAGGAGGAGGAGAAGAAGAAAGAGAAGGAGGAGGAGAACGAGAAGGAGAAGGAGAAGGAGAAGAAGAAGAAGAAGAAGAAGGAGGAGGAGGAGGAGGAGGAGGAGGAGGAGGAGGACGGGCTCATTTGCACAGATTCTTCCTGTCTGACAGGCAATTTTCATGATCTAGGGTCAGGATGGAGGAATCCAGGTAAGGGGGACCTCATCCTGGGAACTCCAGACAGAGTATGCTAAAGGCTGCTGCATGGACTCATCATGGGCTGAGCTATCATGCAGCCACAGAATTAACAGGGACGCCGGGAGGATTTGGTTATCGTCAAAGCCGGGCATTCAGACTTCACGACAGTCAACAGAAAGTATGTTTGTCTAGAGCTATAACCGAAGTACCTGAAGTATGGCATGTAGTGCGCGATTCGCCCTGGAATTACAGTCATGGTTTTGTCGATCATCTTGTCCCTTGCACTAATTGCTTGGCGGTAGCTTATCCCTCTAGTGCCTCTGTCAGGAAGTCCCAGCAACTTCTTTCGCCTCAGATTGATGAAGAATGACACAGGTACCAGCATAAAGATAACCCAAATGACAATGCCCACAATGAAGGGGTTGGGCCTGCAGTATTTGCAGTGGCCTTGCTCTGTGAACACACACCCGTAGACACACACACACACACACACACACACACACACACACACACACACACACACACACACAATCAGTTTTATGTATGACTGTTTGTCTGTCACTTTTGTTTCTTCTTATTTTCCCTTATTTTTTGTGTGCCGAGCTGAGCACCCTTGAGCAGTGCCAAGCAGTCGGTCATTCCTCGTTTGGAGTGCCTGCATCACTCCTAGGGGAGGCACTCAGTTCGGGATGTCTGTCTGCCCAACAGGTGATGACAGATATTCGTCGATGTGACTCCGTGGCTCAGTGGGTGGTGGGAACCAACAGTCCGCGGGGTTCACCCGTGATGTGACTAGGTGATGTGTCGCTTTGCTTCGTGTTGGAGACGTGGACTGCCTCGTCTGCGGTCCACTGCTGCCTTGCTGCCCGTCCTGCTCGCTGCACAGGCCATTGTTGGAAAACTGCTGTATTCACTGTGTGGTGTGGCCATGTCATTGGTGTGGCCATGTCGTTGGTGTGGCCTTGTCCTTCGCTGCTCCGCTGCCTTGCCGCCCATCCGCAGGCCGCGCCTTCCGTGTCCTTTGCTTGCATGCCTTACAATCTGGTTGCCTTCTTGGTGTTGCCTTTTGCTTCTTTGCACGGTTGCCGTGCTGCTCGTCTGCTTGTCCTGTCGTTCCTTGCAGTAGTCTTTCGCGCTGCGCAGCTGGGTTGCTCCGGCAGCTCGCTGAGTTGTTGCCTGCTGCTAAGTGTGTGGCTGCCTTGTTGGTGTCGCCTTGTGCTTCACTGCGCGGTTGTCGCGCTGCATGTCCGCTTGCCATGTAGTCTTTGGCATTGAGCAACCGTGTTGCCTCTGCAGTGTTGCCTGGTGCTTTGCTGGGTTGCTGCCCCCTGCTGTGTTCTTTTTGGGGACAGTCTGCCTTCAACAAGCGTCCAAGGGCGCATGACCCAAACCATCAATATACAGGAATTCCGCAGATTGTCGAGGATTCAGCCTCGTGATGAGTCGGTGCAACTCCGACGAAACAATCTTGTTATCATCAGTTTTTTCTTTTTTTCAGTTCTTGTCTTCTGATCTACTGTTGTTCCTTTTGCCGACTTGTGTTGTCCATCTCCCTGCTCGCCTTGCCCTTGCCTTCAAGCCTATGTCTATGTCTTCCGTGGGTACTACTTGTTTCTCAGCTCACTGCCTTTGCCTCGTCCTATCGTGTTTTGGTGCCCGCCCGCCTACCCCGTGGCTTCCAGCATGTAATTTGTTGCTGCTTGTCGTTTATGTGCCTCGTACGTCTCCTCAGTGTGCATTACCTCCTGTTTGCTGCTCCCTGCCCCCTCCCCATGTTTCAACAGTAGCGCATTCAGCTTCTCTTTGTTTGCTTGTTTTGGGTCTGCTTGGCTTCAAGAGTAGCACATTCAGCTTCTCTTTGTTTGCTTGTTTTGGTCATGCCATATGAAGTGGACGGTTTATTTCCTGGTATGTTGCTTGATGTGCTTTTTCTGTCCAGCTCGACACGTCTGTTCACGTGGGGGTTTCGTATCAAATTATACACACACACACACACACACACACACACACACACACATACACACACACACACACACACACACATACACACACACACACACACACACACACACACACACACAGGGAAATCAGAGCGAAGGACAGATTGGAGAATAAAAAGACGGGAACAGGGTTCATTACCCCAGCTCTGCAACAAAAATAGGCCTTGGATGAACCCTTGTCTTTCCTTTTTGCATTTTTCCATCTTCTTCTTTCTCTTTTTTTTTTTTTTTTTTTTGGAGCAAAAACCAAAGCCCCTTCTATTCTGGGGGGCATCAGTCCGGTTGCTTATCACTGGCAAGCATGACAGAGAAACACTTCCACTTTTTTTTTTCCCCCCTGCCCCGAAGTTTCTGACCAGGTTAACCAGATTGTAACGTTTGCGAAGAAACGCTCACCTCCACTGTTGGCAACACCAATAAAATGATGCTGCCTCGCTTCCCTTTTACGATCTCTTTTCAAGTTCCTTTTTTTTTTTTGGATGGTGGACTGTCACCAAAATCTACCTAACGCAACTTCACAGCAATGATACAGTCTTTTATCCCCACGGCACTACTCTTGAATACTGACAACGGTTGGGCACTTTCTGGACTATATAGAACAGGTCTATAGGGAGGTTAGTCTATCCAAAAGCTTGTTGCATTTTGAGTTTCTTCTTTTGTGCATGCTTGCCGATCCTGTTCGCGGCTTTTGGCAAGTCGAACCTTGTGGCCCATACGACACAGCTTTGGCACTATTCTGGAATATTGACGACGATTGGGCCCTTTCTGGACTATATAGGACAGGTCCATAGGGAGGTAGTCTATCCAAGGCTTGTGCGATTAAAGGTTCTTCCGTGCATGCGTTTGCTCAACCAGGTACAACTGAACCACATACTTGCAAGGAAAATGAGCGATATCGAATGCCAGAAACCAAGCAGCATCATACACATGAGACCAGATGGTCTTGACCTCGAACCAAAAGCAGAATTGCAACTCGAGTTCCACCAAATAAGAGCACAGCAAAAGCTCACAAGTGACAATGTTGGAAGAGTCTCATCATCATCATCAACAATGAACCAATGCCGAATCCCTATCTGGCGCTCAGCGCCCAGACTTCGAATGGCAGATCCTATCTAACCTATCTACAATGCCGCTGGTGACGTCAACAGCTTCCCGAAGTACGAGCAGATCTCGGCTCACGCTTCACTCACAACCTCAATCCCCCACACAGATGCCACTTGCACCCAAGGACCACCATGCGCCCCATCCAGCTATGCGCAGGCCAGGTCGGCTATGGCTGCCTTGCTCACCCGTGAGCGCGTAGGCACTTGCGAGCAAATAGCGCAGCAGCACTGGCGCAGCATGCAGCAAGTGCCCGAATATCCAGCCCGCAGCCAGGCCCTTTCCTTTATGGAATGAGGAAGCCAGTCGTGGGCTGGCTGGCCTGGGCCTCCCCACGGAAGCTTCCGGTAGGCCCCAAGTGGCTGAGCCCCTGTCCCGGGGAATCTTCAGGGCCTGGGGTGGTTACCCGTGTCCAACTGCCAGCGGCCTGTGTTCAGCTCATGCACCGTGTCTGGCCCAGGGCCTGCCTCAATACATTTGGAAAAAGGCAGGCAGGGCCTGGACTCGCTCAACCAACTGGCGCTGCGCAACTCCCTGAATTTCCCAGCTGCGTCAAAACCCAGAAATAGGCCTCTTGTCACTCGTCACGCCCACCTTCACTTAGGGCGGCCGTACTTGTTGAAACAGGGCCTCGCATTCCCTCCTCCATACTTTGACAGTCCTCTGAGAAGTTCACTCAATCTGGCGCTTTCCCTTCTGCAGCAACTTTTCATAGTGAGCGACAACCTGTGGAGCGGTCTCCATCAGTTCCTCCCTTGTAAACCATCTGTCCTCCTTTGGATCAATGTGATGTCTGAACCGGACGCGATATTGCAGCTTCGGCTTCGGAGGACGGCCCCTGCCTGTTGGTCTTGGAACCGGCATTTTTCTGTAGTCCACGATGTCGTCGATGTTGACATCTCCATCCCTGGTTGGGGGCAGATTGAGCGACGAGAGATGAAAGGTGCGAGTTTGGAGGCGTGAAAGACAGGGTAGGTGCAAAGGTGACCTGGGATTTGCACCACATAGGGATCGTCTCCGACCACATCTAAAACCTCCCATGGTCTGAAGTACTGTAATCCCGTGCTCTTGCCCACGTTCGGATGCCTTGACCCAGACTCTATCCCCAACCTGGAACATAGAAGGGCGGCGGTGTTTGTTTTATGATTCTATCATGCCGCCTGCGCTTTGTGCATGCTGTCCACTGCTTGTTACATAAGACTTTCATAGCTGTAGGCAAATTCCAAGGTACCCGGGGCAGCAGTGGACTGGTTCTCAGGTAGTAAGAAATCTAGAGGCAGTCGAGGCTTGAAAGTTAGCAGACTGTTGGGGCCCACCCCAGTCGCGCTGTGCACAGCGTTGTTGTACAGGCTGGCGATGAGAGCAAGCTTCTCATCCCAGTCCACCTGACTAGGCTTGATGTAGTGCCTTAGCAGGTGTTGTACAGCACGGTTCAGCTGCTCTGCTTGTCCATTTGCCTCAGGGTGGTTCCCGGAGGTCATCTGCAGCTGAGTCCCTTGTTCAGCAGCTGCAGCCTTCCACAGCTCACTGGTGAATCGTACATCCCGGTCACTAATAATGGACTTTGGCAGGCCAGAGTCTCTGACCCAGTTCTCTTTGAACAGTTTGATTATGTACTCGGTCTTCGCTGTTTCCGGCATGGCAACTAACCTAGCATACTTACTGAACCTATCCACAATGACAAAGACATATCTCATACCACTCTTGCTGGTGACCAGCGTATCCATGAAATCCATGGACAGGCTCTCAGCAGGCCTTTCCGGAATCGGAAGGGGCTTGAGAAGCCCAAGAGGGGCCTATGTGTGTAGCTTGTCTCTCTGACAGACCTGACAAGTTTCCACATACAGCTTGGCGTCTTTCATCATCGTGAGCCACCAGAACTGCTGCAACAAATTTGCGGTAGTCTTCTTATAGCCAAAATGTCCGGTGGCATCATGGCACTCGCCTAAAAATAAACTACGCAAAGACTCTCTATTTGGCACACATACGCGTTTATTCCCGGTCTTCTCGAGGAACAGCAGACCATCGACCAACACAAACTCGTCAGAAGTCACCTTGTCCTTTGCCTCGAATCTGCGTATGATCTCTGCCATGAATGGATCCTCGCGATAGGCTTCCACCAAGGACTGAGCAATATTGTCTGCAAGCCCAAACTTAGTGATCAGCGCACCAAGGAAATCTGGCCTACGCGACAACGCATCAGCAACCTTGTTGTACTCCCCTTTGATGTACTGAGGTTCGAAGTCATACTGCACCAGAGCTGCTGCGCTATTTGCTCGCAAGTGCCTCCAATGGGTCAACACTTTATATATCGTGTAGAGTTCCTTCTCATAGGTGGACTTCGCCAACTTCTAAGAGGGCATCTTTTTGGACATGTACTCTACGGGCCTCAACTTCTTCCCCTCCTGTTGCGCAAGCACGACAACAATGCCATATTGGCTGGCATCCGAGGTTACAACAAACAGCTTGTCAGGATCAGGGAGTTTCAAGACCTCATGGTGCGTAAGAGAATGCTTCAGATGTTTGAAAGTAGCCTCACACCTGTCTGTCCACTCCCAGGGGTTGTCAAGGCGTGTGAGATCCGACAAGGGTGCGGACATTATGCTATAGTTCATCACAAAATTGCGATAGTATCCGGTCATCCCCAAGAGGGATCTCAACTCAGTCACAGACTGAGGACGCGGCTAGTCACGAATGCTGGCCACCTTCGCGTCATCGGGCTTCAATCCCTCTGCGGAAATCTCATGACCCAGATACAGGATCCGGATGCGGCCAAACTCACACTTCTCCCGGTTAATCTTGAACTGGTGCTGCCGAAAGAGACTAAGTACTTTATCTAAATGGGCTACATGCTCCTCGACAGTCCTACTAAAAATAAGTATGTCATCGAGGTACACGATGACAAACTTATCTAAGTAGCATGAAAGATCTGGTTCATCGCGTGTTGAAAGGTGCCAGGAG